CAGAAACACACTTACACTGCATGTGCACACACATGCATACATATACCCAGACACATACGCAGAAACACACTTACACTGCATGTGCACACACATGCATACATATACCCAGACACATACGCAGAAACACACTTACACTGCATGTGCACACACATGCATACATATACCCAGACACATACGCAGAAACACACTTACACTGCATGTGCACACACATGCATACATATACCCAGACACATACGCAGAAACACATGAGGTGCCATTTAGGCCATATTTCAAACTTTTCCTACATACACAAAAAACACTCACATTCACTATTTTACCTCTCACATACAAATAAATACTCTGACATGCATTCTTTCACCTGACATGATTGCAATTTTTATTTGTATGACAGTTAATGAGAGGGAGTGTGCATTTACTTGTATGTGAGAGGTTTTTGTCTACGTGGGAGGTAAAATAGTGAATGTTAGAGTTTTCTGTGTATCTGAGAGGGAATGTTTCAAATATAGCCTAAAATGGCATGCCATCAGAAAACAGACATGAATTGTTTGTACACATTCACACACACACACACACACACACACACACACACAGACTGGTGTGGGGGTCTTGGAGTCTCACTCGTGGTCCAGGACTCCCATCCCCCCCCCGCCCTGGAACTGCTGTTGCTGCAGGATGCTCTCGAAGTCATCAACACGCTGCTCCAGGTTGCGCATGTGTGCTGGCAGGTGACAATTCAGGAAGCAGATGGAGTGCCCAAACAGTGCCATCCGTGCGCTCACACCTCCTTTGTTCCCCTGGGAGGGTGAGAGACAGGCAGCAGCATCACCAGCAGAGGGTGCTTTGCATGCCACATTGTTGCATGCCGCATTTGGTGAAGTGCTGCAGTGGAGCTGCACAGTGATTTATTTTAATCTTAATCTATAAGAGCAGTTGGGTATGAATGTTCTGCCAAGGGTTATAGTTAGAGTCACAGAGTCTGACAAAGGGTTAGAGTTAGGGTTAGGTTAGGGTTAGGGCTATACAGATTGACTGAGGGTTAGGGTTATAGAGTCTGACTGAGGGTTAGGGTTATAGAGACTGATGGAGGGTTAGGGTCAGCCATTGGCAGATTAAAGATGACAGTGTGAGTCACAGAGACGGCAGCAACTGTGGAGCTGTGGGTTCTCTGTGCTGGAGGGACTGAGTCACCTGAACCTTCTCTATGTGCATTGACCTCACAGCCAAGGAGACTGCGCAGAAGCCAGATGTTGCCAACAAAGAGGTCACAGAGTGCAGGGAGCAGGCACTGCCCCCATCGCAGTGAGGGAACCACTGCAAGGAGATCTAGACCCCAGTGCAAGTGTCACTGTGTTGATGGGTACCCAATGTGTTCAATTTCCATAAAAAACGTCTAAAATGATCTGTTTCACCACTTGGTGATATTGCAGCATTGATCCTAGTATATTGGTGATCTCTTATTTGGTATCTACATACATTAACTGGATGTGCCTCTGTGTCTTTGTATGGGCATGCATTCCTTACCCAATATCCCCCCAGGCCAGTGCGTGTGGTCTGAGTCTGTACACCCCTGAGGAAAGGCAGGTGGCAGCACTGAGCAAACACCAGAAGCAGGACCCCCTGCATCCGCTCGGACGTCACCTGGGGGGATAAAAGGAGGAATAGGGGAGGAGAAGCCAGGAAGGGACACCCAGGAAGGAAGAGACACAGCAAGGAAGTCAGAATAGAATGGAGAACATGGCGAGAAATGAGAGGATTGTAGACAGATAAAAACAGGCAGCACAGACACAGACAGGGAGGGCAGACAGGGAACACAGACACAGATAGAGGCAGGGAGCACAGACAAAGATAGAGACAGGCAGCACAGACACAGACAGGGAGCGCAGACAGGGAACACAGACACAGATAGAGACAGGCAGCACAGACACAGACAGGGAGCGCAGACAGGGAACACAGACATAGATAGAGGCAGGCAGCACAGACACAGACAGGGAGCGCAGACAGTGAACACAGATAGCGACAGGCAGCACAGACACAGACAGGGAGCGCAGACAGGGAACACAGACACAGATAGAGGCAGGGAGCACAGACACAGCTGGTCTTGAAATACACCTTTTTATATTACGTTTGCACACTAGTACTATGCATCCAAATTTATTTAGTTAGTTTTTAGCACTTTCAGTTTCATCACTGTTCTCTGAAGGATCAACCTCTTACTGACCAGCACGTGTCCACTGCCACTGAGGGTCTCCATGAACAGCTCTGTCCATGGATCAGTGAAAAGAGCATCTTTAAGCCGCTTGCTGATCATGGAGTTCATTTCCTGCAGGCTGGCACAAAGAGAAGGATAGAGAAAACAATGCAGAACATCTACAGTCACTGGTTCCTGCAGGCTCAGAGTGCTACGTTGCAGAACATCTACAGTCACTGGTTCCTGCAGGCTCAGAGTGCTACGATGCAGAACATCTACAGTCACTGACCGCTACATTGCAGCACTGAGAGTATCTTGACTGGATGCATTATGAAGTGCTGAGGTAAACTAACTGCTTCAGCCCCCAAACTACTGCAAAGAACTGTGTGGACAGCTTTAAAGATCATTCGCATGGATCTTTCTCAACTCGTACTAATCTGGGAGGGCTGACTGTCATCAGGGATGCCATCCACCCAGCTCACGCACCCTTCACACTCATTCCCACTGGAAAATGGATCACACGCTTTAGAGATGATTTCTTTCCACAGTTCTGTTTTGTCATTGTACGTCCCACACGTTTCTAACACTTTATACTGTATTATTGCCAATTTGTTAATTAACACATCCCACATACATGCCTCATCACCACAGTCACAATATTTATTTATTTATTACATGAACTTTAGAAAGACTCACCCAATGATATACATGTCAGCCTTTACATCAGTTGTATTCAATCCCAACAAGGAGGTAACGTCATCTGGAGGAACGGCTGACCCCACATTCCATGAGACTATGCAGACCCTAGACAAAGGTCATGATTTAGAAGGAATCCCATGACCCAGAGAAACATACCAACAGGCAGCATTCAGTAAGGCAGTTCATATGAGAAAATGACTGGTTATGTGCCAACCTGACGAACACATGGGTGAACAGCCAAGGTGGGAACTTATGACGTTATACACCAATGAGCCAACATTATGACCACCTGCCTCATATGCTTTTGCTCCTTAGCATTCTGCTAAAACAGCTTGGACTCGCTGAGGCATGGACTGTACAAGACCTCTGAAGGTGTCCTGTGGTAAATGGGATCCAGTAGTTGGCAGTAGAACCCTTAACTCCTATAAGTTGTGAGGTGGACCAGCCACAGCTTGGACTTGTGATTCCAACACATTCCAAACATGCTGGATTGGATTGAGACCTGGGGAATTCGGAAGCCAGGGCAAAACGTTGAACTTCATCATGTTCCTCAAACCATTCCCAAACAACTCATGCAGTGTGGCAGGGTTAGGGTTAGGGTTAGGGCAGGGTGCCCAGTGTGGCAGGGTGCATCATTCTGCTGAAAGAAGCCGTGTCCATCAGGGAATATGATCCCAGGAAGGGATGCACCTGGTCTACACTGATGTCTCAATAGGTGGGACATGTCAAATTAACGTCTACATGAATGCCTAGACAAGGGTTTCCCAGCAAAACATTGCTCAAAGCATCACACTCCCTCCATCGGCTTGTCAACTTCCCACAGTGCATCCTGGTGCCGTTTCTTCCCCAGGTAAGTGTTGCATACCTACCCAGCCGTCCACATGAAGCCGCAAAAAACAAGATTCATCGAACCATTCATCCCATTTATCCGAAGGTGCCCATTATAGGTGCTAAAAGGGGGTTTGCATGAGCACTCTGACTGGCCTGTGGCTATTCGGCTCCATACGTAGCATGACTTGATGTCTTTGTGTTCCCATGGTGATCTGCCATAGCAGCCATTTTGTTGGTTCAGACGGGATAGCCTTTGCTCACATCCTGCATTAGTAAGTCTTGGCTGCCAAACACCCTGTCGGTGGATTGTGGTTCATCACTCTTCAAACTGCTGTTGGTATGTACTAGTGCTGCAACAAATGTTCAAGATATTCGAAGAACTTGAATATAAAAAAAGATTTGAATAGAAAAATCCGCATTTGAATAACTGGTTAATAACTCGTAAATATCTAGGGCCCCATTTATCAAAAAAGCAATTCACTGCACAATGACACTAGTGTATGATTGGATATATAAGAAATAGAACTTGAATAAAACTTGAAACGTATCAAACTTTGTATCAATTTCATTGTGATAAATGTGCATTCACAAAAAGAAAAAAATATGAATGCACAAAAAAGATTTGTCAAACCTGGCTTGAGAACATTTCCCCTCGATAAATTGTAACTATCTTGTAAATGTGTCTATGTGCATGAGCCTGAGATCCTACCCAGTTGACGCCCATAAATAACGGTCAATGCAAATGAACTGCATGCTCGTATAATATGCAAATTAAGCCTTTCTGGTTGCTAAGTCCAATGATAGTGGCTGTATAAAAGACCAAGAAGAAGAATTGTGAACAGTTCAAGATAGAGGCAAACAGAATGTTATATTTGGAGGCCTAAGCACATTTATCACATTTATCAACAAGATAAACTAGACATACATTTTCTAATGATTTTTACATATCCCTGTTCACCACGAAAGTGTAGGGAAATGTACATTTAATGCTTAACAGACAAAGTACAAAGACATTACACATAGCACAGACAGCGAACAAATCATTTAAAATAATCTTAGTGGTCCATGAAAACTCATTCACATCCAATCCTTCCGTTTACATAGTCACTAGCAAGAACACCATTATGCTGTATCCCATTCCTGTGACTAAATGCATGTGAATTTTTGATGCCTAATTCAAATTTAGTACAAAAAGTGACTCCCATCCATCCATTTTCTGTAACCGCTTATCCTATTCATGGTGACGGGGGTCTGGAGTCTCTCCTGGAGACTATAGGTACAAGGCAGGAACAACTTAGGATGGGGTACCAACCCATCGCAGGGCTATTCACACACCATTCACTCACAGCTGCACCAACTAGAGACGAGTACAGAAATTTTCAGTTCAAGTTTAAGATGTGACAAGATGTATTTGAAATAGCAAATTTAATTCTCCAAGGCTTACACAAATAAATGGAAAATCAATAAATTCCAGTTCACATTTTTAGGTTTACCATTTTTCACGTGAAGGCGTGGGTTGATATTGCAGTTGTGGCCAGGGTGGTTAAAGAGCTCCGTGGTGGCCGGGCCCCGGGGGTGGACGAAATCCGCCCGGAGTACCTGAAGGCTCTGGATGTTGTGGGGCTTTCGTGGCTGACACGCCTTCTCAACAGTGCGTGGAGGTCAGGGACAGTGCCGCTGGATTGGCAGACCGGGGTGGTGGTCCCCTTATTTAAGAA